TATAATCAGGAACAAGACAAGGATGGCCACTATCACCACTTCTATACAATATAGTTCTGGAAACATCAGCCAGAGCAATTAGATAAGAGAAAGAAATAAAATGAATATGGATAGGAATGGAAGAAGTTAAATTATCTTTATTTGCTGATGAATGGCATGATAATCTACTTAGAAGACCCGCAAAACTCCACCTAAAGACTTCTAGAATTAATAACCAAATATGGCAGTGTAACATGATACAAAGTCAAAAATCAAAAATTAGTTGCATTCCTGTACATGTATAATAAACTTACTGAGAGAGAAATTGGAGAAGAAATACCTTTCACAATAGCATCAAGAAAAATGAAATACTTAGAATGAATTTAACAAAGGAAGTGAGAGACCTATCCATTAAAAAAACAGTTACTCTGAGAAAGAAGATGGAAAGATATCCCCTGTTCTTGGATAGGCAGAACCAATGTAAGGAAAATGGCCATACTTCCAAAACCATTATACAGATTTAATGCAATCCCCATCAAAACATCAGTAGCATACCACACAGAACTAGAGAAAACAATCTTAAAATTCATATGGAACCAGAAGAGACTTAGAATAGCAAAAGCAATTCTGGACAAGGCAGGGCCATCACAATCCCCTTTTTGAAGTTATAGTACAAAGTTACAGTGATAAAAACACCATGACACTGGCAAAAGTAAACAGACCTGAGGATCAACGGAATAGAGTAGAAAATGCAGGAACAACTCCAAGCACACTGAACTACCTGGTCTTTCACAAAGAGGCCAAACATTTTCACTGGAAGAAAGATATTCTTTAATAAATGGTGCTGGGAAGAGTGCTTTTCCACGTGGAAAAAAAATTGAACCTAGACTCATATCTCTCACTATGCACTAAGCTAAAAAAGTGGATCAAAGATCTATACTTTAAAACAGAAATACTTCATTTGCAGGAAGATAGACTAGGTAAAACTGTTGAAGATATAGGTGTAGGCAAAGACTTTATGAACAAAACTCCAGTCACACAGGAAATGTTACAAAGAATCAACAAGTGGGATCACATCAAAATAACAGCTTTTGTACACTAAGGAAACCACCAACAGAGTAAGGACACAACCCACAGAATGAGAAAGTTTTGTTTTGTTTTGTTTTTCTACTAGTTACTTCTCAGACAAAGGATTAATACGTAAAATATACAAAGAACTTTAAAAACTCAGATCTCCCAAATTTGTAGACCCAATCAAAAACAGGGCTTCTAAAATGAATAGAGCTGGGCATGATGGCACATGTCTGTAATGCCAGCATGTGGGAGGCTGAGGCAGGAGGATTGCTGTGAGTTCAGGACCAGCCTGAACTGCACAGCAAGACCCTGTCTCAAAAACAGACACGTCTCAGACACGTCTCAATAGCAAATAAATATATGAAAAAAATATTCAACACCACTGCTCATTCAAGAAATTCAAGTTCAAACAACTCTGAGATTTCATGCCATCTAGAAAGAATGGCTATCATCAGTAAAATAAGCAATAACAAATGCTGGTAAGGCTATAGGGAAAAAGGAACCCTTCTCCATTGTTGGTGGGTGTGTATACTGGTACAACCATTGTGGAAATCAGTATGGAGATTTCTCAAAAAACTAAAACGAACCTGGCATGGTGGTGCATGCCTGTGATCCCAGCACTCAGGAGGCTGAGGCAGGAGGATTGTACAACAACAACAAAAACAAACACAAAGCTATTCCCTCTCTAGGTATCTTTTTGAAGGAGTTAAAAGCATCATACTATAGTGATATATGCATATCCATGTTTGTAGAAGCACAATTTATAATAGCTAAATCTGGAAACAGCCCATCTGCCCATCAAAAGATGAATGGATAAAGAAAAGGTGATATTTATATAGAATGGAGTACTACTCCGCCATAAAGAAGGGTAAATGAGTCATTTGTAGGAAAATGGATACACCTTGAGACTATAACCTTAAGTGAAATAAACTGGACACACAAGATTAAATATTGCATTGTTTGTCTTGTGTGAGAAATCCAAAGGGTACATAGGGAGCATAATGGAGGATAGATATTGGGAAGTAGGAAGAATATATTCAAATGGGAAGGGGAACAAAGGAGGGAGGAAACAGAAGGGAAGGAAGGGAAAAAGAAAATAAAAGAATGGAAGGAAAAGATGGAAACAAAGCTTTCGTAAAGGGGGAGGAAAAGAAAGGTTAAAGAGGAAGGGAATAAAAAAAAAGAAGAATTAAGATATATTATGTACAGGTACAAATTCCCTGTGATGAATGTGATCAATATGTATGACAAATATGTTCTAATAAAAAATATAAAGATTAAAAAATTGTTTCTACTCAATCTCTCCCCACTTTGCAAATGTCCTGTTCACCAAGGAATCCCAATTTTGTACCTCCAGCCCAGAGCTTTCCTCCAAATTCCGTATTTATTTATCTATTTACATATTCTTATCTCTACCTAGATATATAATAGACATCTCAGATGCAGCATGTCAGAATCTGAACGCTTCATCTCCCTGTGCTAAAGCCTGCCTTGCCTATGTTTCCCATTTTAGTTGACAGCAACTCTACCCTTTCAAGTCATAGGATCAACCCTGCGTCTCTCTGCTTTTTTCTTATTCTGTGCCCAAATTGTCAAGATATGTTTTCTTTTTTTTTTTTTTTTTTTATGTCTTTTTGAGACAGAGTCTTGCTGTGCAGTTCAGGCTGGTCTTGAGCTCACTTTGTAGCCCAGGCTGGTCTCAATGCAACGATCCTCCTGCCTCAGGCTCCCGAGTGCTGGGATTACAGGCATGTGCCACCATGCGCAGAGATAATGTTTTCATTCTAACTCTCAGGTACATTGTATATAATATGAATACATCTGTCTCCACTGGTACCACACTCATCTCTCATCTGACTTTCTGTAACAGCTCCTCTAATTGTTTTCTCTGAATCTCCTCTGCACTGGGGGACTCCAGACACAGCTGAGAGAGAGAGAGCCAGAGAATGAGTGAGCGAGTGAGAGAGAATATCATACTGGAATCAGACAGTGTGAGCATGCATACTAACTATTGAGATCCTGTAGGCATCTCCCACTAAGCCCCTGCTCTTTGGAAGAGGGGCTATTTCCTCTCCAGGCAGAGTACTGGAAGGATGGAGGCAGCTGATAGCCCGAGATAAAGAACCTAGAGATTACAGATGCTGGAAATTCCCCACGAGGGCCACTGACCATTGCACTCTGAAGCTTGATTAACAAACCCCTCCCGCAGAGTTTAGTTTGCTTATTTATTTCAGTCTCACTCTTAAATATAAACAATCATAGATTACCAGACATTTGAGGAAAACCTCTAGCATGAAACATGAGACCTAAACACTAAAACAGAAAGAAAGAGGAAAAACAGGAAGAAGAAAACTTCAAGAAATAATTAGCATTAATGGCCTCAGAGAGAGAGAAAAGATGAAATAGGAACAAGATGCCATAAAAGCAAACTAGGGTGAAATGGATTGGGGTTGGGAGCAGAAACCCTAAGACAGTATGGACATATCACCAGTCTTAATTCTATTCTCTTGGTAAAAATCATTAATTTAGAAGATATGATGGGTTAGGAGCTCTGCTACTTAGTACAGCAGATCTTCCCTATTCCAGGCAGAACCTATAGATATTGTTGATGTAATTTCATGCTAGGAGCAGTCATTAATGAGGAGTCTTAGCTAAAGCTGCTAGAAGGCCAGGTAAACTTCGAGCAATAATACATTGCCCCGCTAGGAGACTCCTCTCCTGGCACAAATGGAACATTGCCCCCACAGAGCTCCTCTCCTTTCCCTACCCCTGGAGTTTAGAATTTTCTAATAATTACATCAGAAAAGAAGAGAAGCTTTGTTATCGGGGTGGCCTATGAATTTTCTCGATTGCTACAGGGACTGTGATAAAAGTTCACCAGGGGACTCCTGCTCTGTTAATTGCAGTTATAATTCCTGCCACGTGAGGGCACTACTGGAAAGCAGAAAGTGGTCGGGGACGTTGCAAGCTCAGGCTGCTCAGGAATCAGCTAGGATAGTTCAAAGTTAAGGCAAGCAGAGAAATAGAAATTTTCATGTGTTTTGAGATAAAGGAGCAGCACATGACAACAGAATAGGTAGTTCATATAGGCAAACTGGAGGCAGATCCTGGAGAGAGTCTCTTGAGGCATTGGTACAATGCCACAAATGGTACCCCGGCCTTTCCTGTCGCTAGAGATTAGCCTACCAACTGCTGAGAGCCAATTCCTGTGCACACCTGCAAGGTGGAAGAAGAGAGGTCTGCTCCTCAATCCTCTGTTCTTATCTGACAGAGGGGCTGAGGTAGATATTGGTGGATGCCTGAATTCTTGCCCAGGAAGGGGAATATAACTTGGAGAAGATGTAAGGAACCCTGGAAGCAGGTTCTTGGTCAGGGGCTGACAGGCTGGTGGGGACCAAAGTGGAGCAGGGGCCTTGAGAGAGTATTAATTTGATAAACCGCTCACACACTGGGGATGGTGAATCCGGGCTTCATGGCAGAGACTAAAAGACTGCTTCAAAAAGAAGAACAGCGGGCTGGGGATTTAGTTCAGTGGCACACTGCCAGCCTGGCAAGCATGAGGTCCTGAGTTCAATTCACAGTACAAAAAAAAAAAAAAAAAAAAAAGAATAGCAACCAGGTGACGCTGGGTATGGGAGTTAAGCAAACCAAGGGCACTGCTGCCAAAAACATTTTCTTCTGAGCCTTAAGTCCTCCACAAATGGTGGACAAGTATAGGTTGAGTCTATAAAAGTATACAGTGAAGCTGGGCACGGTGATGCATGCCTATAATCTCAGTACTCTTGGAGGCAGAGGGAGGAGGATTTCAAGTTTGAGCCCAGCCTGGACAGCTTAGTAACTTAGCACCTGTCTCAAAATGACAAAAAATGAAATAAAAGTCATCTTAAATACAATTGTCTTCTATTTCTATTGGTATCGATTTAGACTATGAGTAAGGGGAAATTTACCTCTAATATTTTCATCAATGAGCTGAAAATTAACTTCCACATGGCTAGCAGTTGGGTCAAAGGCACAAATAAGCTCCACTAAGTATCTGTTAACATACTATGAACAAAGAACAAAAGAAAAGTCACAGAGTCACTAACAAGTAGAGACACAGTGCCCAGTTCACATGACTACATTCATATACATTTTAAAACAGGTCAAAGCAATCTGTAATGGTAGAAGTCCAGATCATGGCTAGCATTGGGATGTGTGAGTTGGGTGGTGGGAGCTTATGGGGAAGGGCACAAAGGCAGGCTCTGGGGATGTCACCAATATTCTAATTGGTTTTTTTAAAACCTAGGTGCAGGTTACGTGAATATGTTCATTATGTGACAATTCTTTCTTTTGTACACTTATGAACTGTGCCATTGTAATTCATACATGCAAATTTGTATAAGCCGTTATGCAACAAAAAGAGTGATTAAAAAACGTACAAGTTTATACTTATCCCAGTTTTCCAAATCATCTGAAAATTCCGACTTTGAATAAAAGAGCAAGATAACTCCTTTCAGGATGTCATGTACTAGGTTTACATCGGGTTCAAACTCCTGGGACTTGCTGTCTTGAGGAGACTTTGACTCTGCTTCAACTTTATGGTCATAGAGCAAGAGTGACACAAAGTCCATGGGACTGAGTAGCTGGAGGCATTCCCGCAGCTCCTGTAGCATGATTCGGAAAAAGAGAACTCCTGCTCGCTGGACTTCACCTGCGTTTTCAATCTCTGGAATAAGAGAATAACATCTCCTCTTGATGTTCAGTCACATACATTCTGAGCATATAGGATTCTGAGCATAGTCTAGTGAACATTTTTCTTCTTCAGGAAAAAGGATCAGGTCTTATGATTTTAAACAGTCTTAAATTTCTTTGGCAATAAAATCAAAAGAGAGATGGAATTACCCCTAGTGCCGTTCATAGGAAAGAAGTTTTAAGAAAAGACAAAAACTTGGGCTTTAGGGTTAGACCTTAGTTTAAATGCACACTCTTTCACTTATCCTATTTTTTTTTAAATACCCTTTTCCTTTGTGTGAGAATGAGGTTAATCCTTACCTCCCAGGTGAGCTGTGGGAATTAAATGAGATGATGTACTTAAAACATGATATACATAAAAGTGTATGATCTTAGGCTTTATATAGAGTGAAACTCGGGAGTTTTCTTCTCTTCCTTCTCTTTTTCCTCTTTGTCCTTCTCCTCTTCCTCTTTTCCTCTTCTTCTTTTCCTTTATCTTCCTCCCCCTCCTCATCCTGCTCCTGTTCCTCCTTTTCTCCTCCTCCTCTTCCTCCTGAGACAAAGTCTTTTTTTTTTTTTTTTTCCGGTACCAGGAATCAAACTTACGACCTCGCGCTTGCCAGGCAGGTGCTGTGCCGCTGAGCTAAATCCCCAGCCCCCAAGAGACAAAGTCTTACTATGTTTCCCAGGTTGGCCTCAGACTCTTGGGTTCAAGTGATCCTTCTACCTTAGCCTCTTGCATAGATGGGACAACAGGTGACTAACACAATGCCTCATTTTCCTCTTTCTTATGCTATTCTATGTAATGATTAGAAATTGGCCTGTTTAATCTCAAATAGTGTTACTCTAATTCTATCCACTTCGTTCTATGCTTTCTTCTTCTTACCTCCCTCTCAAGCTGGTACTGTGCTAAGAGTAGCCTAGTAGATACGGAGTCACAAAAACTAGGATCTAATCTTGGCTCTGTCACTAGCTTGCTGTTGGACCTTGGAAAATCCATTTGACTTTTGGGTTTTAACTCCGTTATCTTTTCTTTTTTGGTACCGGGAATCAAACTCAGGACCTTGTGCTTGCCAGACAGGCGCTTATGCTGCCGAGCTACATCCCCGGCCCATTAACTCCGTTATCTGTAAGATGAGATTCTGGTTGATTAATGCTGTGTAATGCAAAGTGCCCCTAAACCTAGGTTCAAATCCAGTCTTCACCATTTTTTGTTTGCTTTCTCTGAACAGCACTTTCTTTACCTGTGAAATGCGGAATCACCATTTAGATCATAAGATTATAAGGAGTAAATGAAAGAGCATACTTAAAGTGCTTAAACCATAATAGGGCATTTAATAAAGTTAGTTCTATCTTGCCTTTATGAGTGCTTTCAGTTCCAAAACTGTGTGGTTCTAACCAAGATAATATGATTCCATGTCCTTTGCCTTAGCTTGTAGACCATACTCATGAGGCTAAGACTGCAAGGGGAATTCTTTTCACATGGAAAGTTCTATATATTGAAATAATTGCTGTTAGAAAGGGAATCCTTCCTCACATTGCCTGTGATTTCTTCCAGACCTATTAAACCCATGAACTCAGACTGTTACCACATTAACCATACCTAAAATAATGTTTTTCTTTATCTCGCCAGAGAATTCGCCCAGTATTTCAGAGCAGGCAGCCTGGATCATCTTCATCATTTTCTGTAGATCTTTATATTCTTGGTATAACAACATTCTGGTGTGGCCAATGTTAACATCAAGGAGTCCCAGAGCCTCTCCTGTTCTCTCGCGAAGTGGAATTACTATGTGGGTTTCCCCACAGGCTGAGGCCAAAACAACTTCCGAACTGTCTATACACTTAAAAAGGAAGTCTCTGAAACCAAACCCAAATAAGCACAGAGATGTTAAACATCATCCTGTTCACAGTGTTCCAGCAGAACAGAGAATTACTCTCTTTTGCATCCACCTCACTCCCACCACCAAGCCCTTGTTGCTATTTCATCTGCTTACCATGCTATTGATTTTGATTTTGCATGGCTCTCAGCTCAGCTTAGCTGGATATTTCTCTGCTCAAACATCCTTTCAGTAGAGAAGCCTTCCTTACCACCCACTCTAAAGTAGCAGTGCCCAAATCAGTCTGCACTTTCATGTCCTGCTTCATTGTCTTTAGCACATAGGTACTTATATGGAAGCATTTTTCCTTTGCTTATTGCCCAATCAATATTTGTTGTTGAATACCAGAAGGAATAAGGAGTGTGTTAGGTCAGGTTCCCTGAAGCAGAGCCTGTCAAGGATGATTACGCAAGTAATCGAATGAGGATGTGTTCTTTGGAGAAACCTAAGAGGGACTGAGGGAAGCAGGGAAAGGGGAGAAGCTAAGTAGGAATGTAATTTCAGGTGAAGCTTAGCCTCCATCTGAACCTAATGGGGAGATCTGGGAGGTCCACTGTCCTGCTGTGAGTAAGGGGACGGGTCGTTTTCATCCTTGTATTAGTTAATCCTTATATTAGTTAATTATTGGCTGTAAGCTGCTTTGATCTGTGGTGCCAGTCCTGGGGTAGAAGAGCGTTCACTGTAACTCTAAGGTACCTCTGGGGAGGAGCACCAAGTCCTTAAGGGCACACCTTCAAAGAAAGTTACAGTATGACGTATTACCTGCAGCAGTACCGACAGCAGCTGACAAAAGGCATGTTAGGGATCTGGGCAGGGCTTCTACACCATTTGCTTTCATCAGACACTGAGATTTTAGTGCAAATGTAGTGCCTGCTTCTCTCTCTAGTGAGGCATAGACACATCTCTTTTTATTTTTTCCCCATATATTGATACAGGGATGCTACTCCTTTAATCTTTGACAAAGAACCCAAATACCTTCATTGGAAGAAAGATGGTCTCTCTAAGAAATGGTTCTGGAAAAACTGGCTTTCCATATGCTGAAGATTGAACCTACAGCCATATCTCTCACTATACAGTAAACTAAAATGAAAAGATGTTCAACATTGCTGGTCGGGGCTGGGGATTTAGCTCAGCGGCAAAAGCGCCTGCCTGGCAAGCGCAAGGTCGTGAGTTCGGTTCCCGGTACCGGAGAAAAACCAAAAAAAAAAAAAAAAACAACAAAACATTGCTGGTCATTACAGAAATGCAAATTAAAACAACATCCGATTCCATGTCACTCCAGCAGAAATGGCTATCATCATGAAATTAACCAATAAGAGAGGCTGGTAAGGCTGTGGGGAAAAAGGAACACCTCTCCATTGTTGATGGGAGTGTAAACTGGTACAGCCACTAAGGAAATCAGTATGAAGATCCCTCAACAAACTAAAACTGGGTTCCATTTGACCCAGCTATTTCCCTTCTAGGTATCTCCCTCAAAGAGTTAAAGTCATCATATCACGGTGATACATGTGTACCTATGTTTATAGCAGCATAACTTATAATAGCTAAATCTTGGAAACAGCTCACAGGCTCACCAGCAGATGAATGGATAATGAGAATGTGCCATTTATATAAAATGAGGTATTACTCTGCCATAAGGATAAACTTGAGACTTTTTTTAGGTAAATGGATGCATCTTGAGAACATAATCTTAAGTGAAATAAATCAGACACACAAGTTTAAATATCACACTATTTCTCTTGTGTGAGAAACCCAGAGTGTAAATAAGGGGCAAAACTGAGGATGAATAACAGAAATTAGGAGAAACATGTTCAAATGGAAAGGGGTACGAGGGAGGGGGGAGAAAAAAAGGAAGGGAAAGGGATTTAAAAAAAGAATGGAAGGAAGAAATGGAAGTAGAGCTTTTGTAAATGGGGAAGGGAAGAAGGTTGAAGGGAGGGGAAGGGAATGGGAAAAATAATTAAGATATATTAGGTACAGTACACATTCCCCATGATGAATATGATCATTATGTATGTCAAATGTGTACTAATAATTAGTTATTTAAAAATACTAGTGCTAACCAGCTATACATGGTGGTATATGCCTATAACCCCTGATATTTGGGAGGTTGAGGCAAGGGGATCCCAAGTTTGGAGCCAGTGAGGGCATCTTAGTGAGACTCTGTCTCAAAATAAAAATTAAAAGGGCTGGGGATATAGCTCAATGGTTGATTACTTGCCTAACATTTGTGAAGCCCTAAGTCAATCTGCATCACTGCCACCACCAAAAGCAAACAAATAAACAAGTAAACAATGAGTGCTTCACCTAGCCTCATAAAGCACATTTACAATTCAGAATACCAATCATGTAATGACAGCTAAGACTCTGTCTTTCTTCTGGTATTCCCACCCTTTCCTGCTGTTGAGCTACCACTTTATATATTTATGACAACCATAGTTATGATGTATCATACTAAATTTTCCAGGCATAATAATAATAAAGCTTATCAGCGGAATTCTTCCAAAGCATCTGCTCTAAATCACACACAGGAATCCAGAGTTCTGGGTATTATAAGGACTCCACTAAAATTCTTTTTTTTTTAATTTTAATTTTTATTATTACATGTTTGCAGTACATATCCAGTAAAACCCTTGACTAGCACAAGGAATACCTATGTAGAACACAGCTTGAGACAGAATGAATAGTCTAGTATGAGGCTAAATTAGAATTTAATAACATGTGTACTTACGTGTCAAATTAGCCTACTAGTCTGAGTAGCTAATGCCCACTCAGGTATGTGGACCCTCCAACAGAGCAGTCAGTCCCGTATACAAGACATATGTTCTCAGTTAAGATCTGTTCAATTTAGTAGAATCCCCTGTCTTCCACAGGTGACAGCCCTTCTAAGTATTTTAAAGCTGGGTCTTACGGAATATAATATTATCTACTTTATCCTTCTCTTTTCCTCTGCTCAACTTCTTTAAATAAAAAATAAATGCTCACAGGCTACTTAACATTTCCTGTTGAGCTTTGGTAAGTGATATGGAAGGATTATTCCTAGTCACATTAGGGTTTTGTTGAATTAACTGTTTACAAGAAATTCATAGGAAATAAAACACTGTCATATCTCCAAATGTGCAATTTTTTTCTTTTCTTTCTTCATCCTTCCTTCCCTCCCTTTTTCCTTTCTTCCTTAAGGTAGTACTAGGGATTTAATTAAGGTGCACTATATCAGTGAACTATGTCTCCAACATCCTCAGCCCCTCTTATATGTTTTGTTTTGAGACAGAGTCTCAGTAAGTTGCCTAGGCAGTCTTGGAACATGTGATTCTTCTGCCTCAGCCTCCAAAACAGCAGGGATTACAGGTCTGTACAACCACACCCAGGTTAAAAAACCATACTTTTAATATAAAATCCCTATGAAATTTGTTTTAAAAAGGGCCTTAGGGAAAAGGAGGTAATATGTCTAGGCAATGTTCTATAAGAATTTTTCTTTAAAAGCCAATCAGATGGAGAACAGATCAGTGATTTCCACATCTAGGGATCATAGAACTTAAACAAACAAAACTAAGTGATTTTTGCTGCATGTACATTTCGTGTATGTAAATCCTAAGTTTATTAGAATGAGTCAGTGGTAGTAATAAGCACAATCTGTGTCTTTCAGATCTACTGTCACACAGAAAAGATGTCTCATACCTGAACATGCATGACTTCCTGATAATGGTAGGAGGATTTGTGTGGATTTCTGTTAGACCCAGGTGCCCTGTAACCATCATATTGCGTAAAACATAGTCTGAATCCTTGAAAAGAGAAAGAGATTTCATTAAAGAGTAATACTTAGACTTCATATTCTCATAAAAGCTTTCAGAGACAGAAATGCAGGGGAGAATCAGGAAAGTTTAAAGGACTTCTAGCTTTAAGAACAGTGATATTTTACTTATTCAGTACCATGAGGGCAAAAAATGTTCTATAAGAGAAAATTTTTAAAAGAATAGGATTTTTTAAAAAATGCATAACCTTTTCTTTAAGTACTGGAGACTGAAGTCAGGGCCTTCAAACTGGGCTACATCCTCAACTCCTTTTGATTTTTATTTAATTTTTAAAATTTTGGGACAGGGTCTTACTAAGTCACTGAGCTATCCACATTGGCCTCAAACTTGTAATTCTACTGCTTCAGCCTCCCAGAATACTGGTATTACAGTGTGTTTATAGTTTTTCTAATGTTAAAAGTGCATTTAGAATATTGAGAAAATATGGAAATGCCCAAAGAAAATCAATGCAAAAAGAAAATTCTTCAATGAGTCCTTTGTCCCTACCACTACTTCACCAATGCTGTTCTTGTCAAGATTACGAGTGATTCATTTTCAAATCATTGGTCAAGTCCTAGTCCCCATCTTCATCTACTGCTTGGTACAAGTTCATTCAATGAATTACTACCTTCTTGAAATAATTTTCTTCTGTTGCCTTGTAGGACACCATTCTTTCCTGGTTCTCACTAAACATTCCTTATGATTCTTGTTTCTGATTTATCTCCCTCATGTCTATAGGTTTTCAACCTGTAGGTCATAACCTACTTGTAGATTCTGAAAATATTTTAAAGAATCTTGATCAACTTTTTGTAGGCACCAGCTTATAAGAAAGTAGTATTATTATATTCTGTAAAATACACTAAACTTTAGGAAGGCAAATTCAGTTAGGAGAAATAAGGTGGCGTATTTATGAACCCTCTTTAAAAAATAAAATTTGGAATAAAAGAGAAACTAGGATAAGAGGATCCATTGAGGGTGTGTGCTGAATGTTGCTTGGAAGTTGAGTAACTACTTTGTAGGGTAAAACTTTCTTTTGTCTCTCCACTCCACGACCACAGGTGTTCTGCCAAGCTCTTTAGATGAAAAATGTTTTCAACATTATATTTAGTAGCTTAGTCGGATGTATGTTGCCAAACAGAATACCACATATTGGGTAACTTATAAAAGAATAAATTTAGCTTTTCATGGTTCTAGAGGTTAGGAAGTCCAATATCAAGTTGCTGGCTTCCTGCAAAGGCCTTGTTGCTGCATGGCCTCATGGTGGAAGGGAAAATGATAGACGAGGGCTAGCAATCAAATTTGCAGACCCCAGTTGCTTTGTAACCAGTGTTAATTCATTTATGAAACTGGTGCTCTCTCGTGACCTAAATACTTCCTATTGGGCCTTACCTCCCTGAAGTGTTGCTTTGGGGATTAAGTTTTCAGCACGAGCTTTTTGGGGGACACATTCAAACCACAGCATTTGGAAAACTGTTAAGATTATCCTGCATTGGCTGGGTGTGGTGGTGCACATCTGTAATCCCAGCACACAGGAGGCTGAGGCAGGAGGACTGCTGCTAGTTCAAGGTCAGTCTAGGCTACATAGTGAGTTCAAAGCCAGCCTGGACTACATAGCTAGACCCTGTCTCAAAAAACCAATCCCCACCACCAGAAGTATTAACCTGCATTGACAACTCGGTTTCTAGCTTCTTTCTGAATTTCTTCCATGGTTTTCTATTTAGTATATGGTGATCCCTCACCTATCGCGGGAGTTATGTTCCAGAGATCCCCGCGATAGGTGAAAATCCGCGAAGCAGCTGTATTATATTTTTTTCATTATTTATATATATTTTAAGGCTTTATAAACCATTCCCACACTCCTATAAACCTTTCCCACTCTCTTATTAACTTTTCCCACACTCTTATAAACACTTAATATACTCTTAAACATTTTAAACCTACGTAATTTTAACAACATGTAAAATTTTATATGGGTATTTGATGTGAAGTGGACAAGGAGAGATGCTAACATATGCGCACAATGCAGGAGAGTAAACAGACCAGTGCTACCGTTACTGAGCCAATCAGCACCCAGGATATAGAACACAGTGCTGTGGTTGGTTGCCTTTCATTCCATCAGCCAATAGTGTGTTGTGTACAATCTCATGTTAGCAAACTTGCACAAATGGTAGTGGTATACTGCATTTCCATTGTGTACAGTATGGTATTCATCTGCTGATGAAATGAATACTGTATTTTATTTCAATTTAATGTTCTTTTAATGTTTGAATTAACATTTTTATATTTTTATATTGTTTTAAAATTCTTAGGCAAAAATAATTAAAATCATAAATATTATATAAATACCTATATACCACAAAATTCTGCGATATAGTGAAAACTCTGCAATACAGAATTAGATGTTTTTTTAAAAACCTGTGGTACAGTGAAGCCGCAATAAGTGAACCACGATATAGCAAGGGACGACTATATCCCCACCCCATCTATCTATTATCTCTCTCACTCTCTCTCTCTTTCTCTCTCTACCTATCTATGAAGCAGGGTTTCAGTAAGTCTCTAAGTTGCCCATAATGGGTTCAAATATGAACTTGTCCTTCTTCACCCTCCCACAGTGCTAGAATTACAGGCATGCCCCACCATGCCCAGCCAAATAGTTTTAAAAATCTCACCCTGGCTGTGTTTCTAGGTTTAAATCTTTAGCCAGAACCAGACATTTCCTTTCCTGCTTTTCTCTCCAAAATTGTATAAATTGGCCACTCTTGCTGTTAGAGCAGAAGCAAATGAAAGACTCATAATAATATGCGAATACTATGCTTAAAGATAAGCTTATTTTTCATTATTTTAGTTAGACCAAAAATCTATAAATTAAGCAAGCCCCTCAGTGATTACCCAGTAGTAAGATAAGTACTCTTAGTTAAAATTTCATAAGAAAACTTTTCAGCAAAATGCTCCAATTATACTCTTCTCCCCAATTTTTTTCTGTGACTCACTTATTTTTCCCCTTACCTTTCTAATGTCTATCCATTCTCTTCTTTCTTATTATACATTGTATAACTCCTTTGCTTCAGCTTTTAATCTTTTGCTTTTCAATTTTTTAAAAAAAGAATTAAATAGAATGACAATATTAGAAAACACCACATGTAGTAAAACTAGGTTTACTACGTGTGTTATTGTTTTGTGAAACTTTTTGTGTGTGTGAGTGGGTGGGTATGTGTGTGTTTAGGAGCTCATGATATGAAATATTTTTCATGTTGGGGGTCACAGTCAATACAATTTTGAGTCACAGTGGCTCCAAACACTTTGAGAGCCTCAGAACTCAATCCTCAACATTTTTCTTTTCTATCCGCAGTCATCCCTTTGCTCATTCCATCCATTCTCATGGTCTTATTCTTTGTTATTCATATTTATTATGGAGATATATATAATAAAACTATCTTTTTAAACATTCATAGGGGTACAGTTCCATAGGATTGAAAACATTCACAATGTTATTTAGCCCTGCCTGGATTTCTCTCCTCTCAGCTCATATACCCAACTGCCTAGTCAGTATCTCCACCTAGATGTCCATCTTCAAATTACAGTCTTAAAATCCTTTTCTAATTTAGTAGTAAAAAGTTACCTTGCAATTTGTATTTGTTTTTTTTTGAGAATAATCAAGTATTTTTTCACATTTACAGACATTTTATATGAGGTTTTTTATGTTTAAAATAAACATGTTCTATGCTTATTTTCCTTTCTGATTAAAAAATCTCTTTGTAGATTAAAGAGGATTTCAGAAAATGGAAATATATTCTTTACTCATGGGTAAGAAGAACTAACATTGTGAAAGTGGCCATACTCCAAAAACTGTTGTACAAATTCAATGCAATCCTGATCAAAATACCATTAGTATACATCACAGGTCTAGAGAAAACATGCTCATGATTCATCTGGAACCAGAATAAGCCTAGAATAGCCAAAGCAATCCTGGGAAACAAAGGAAAGGTAGAAGGCATCACAATCTCTGACTTGAAATTATACTACAAAGCTACTGTGATAAAATCAGCATGGTACTGGCAAAAAAAAAAAACAAAAAAAAAAAAAACAAAAAAAAACAGACCTGAGGATCAATGGAACAGATTAGAAGATGCACACAATACTACAAACACACTCAGGCATCTTATCTCTGACAAAGGGGCTAAACATGTTCACTGGAAGAAAGATAGCCTGTTTAACAAATGGTGCTGGAAAAACTGGCTTTCCACATGTTGAAGACTAAAATAAGACCCACGTCTATCATTATGCACTAAACCAAAGTCAAAATGGATCAAAGATGTAAATATTAAAACAGAAACACTAAATCTACTGGGAGGGAAAGTAGGTAGAAATCTTGAAGACATGAGGGAAGGCAGAGAGTTCATAAACAAAAACCAAACTGCATGGAAAATATTTCAAAGAAGCAACAACTTGGATCTCATCTTATTGAAGTCTTTGCACATCAAAGGAAATCACCAACAGAGTAAAAAGAAAACCCACAAATTGGGAAAAAATTTTAGCCAACTGCCCCTCAGACACAGGACTTCTGTTTATAACATATAAAGAATTTTTAAAAATCAGGTCTCCAAAATTCAAAGACCCAATCCAAAAATGGGCACCTGAGCATGAGAAAAAAATGGGCATCCAAGATACACACACAAGTCTCAGATGAAGAAATACAAATGGCAATAAATACATGAAAAAATGGTCAACATCATTAGTCATTCAAGAAATGCAAATTAAAACAACACTGAGATTCCATCTCACCCCAGAAAGAATGGCTATCATCAAGAAATCAACCAATAACAAATGCTGGCAAGACTGTGGGAAAAAAAAACCCTTCTCCGCTGTTGGTGGGAGTCTAGACTGGTACAACCCATGGGGAGACTCCTCAAAACACTAAGATTAGAAGTCCTATTCTACCCAGCTATTCCCCTTCTGGATACTTTTTCAGAAAAATTGAAAACTTCATACCA